GGAAAACCCCCCCCTTCCCCATGATTACCCACTCACTCCAACCGGCTGCTGCTCCCACCTCCCCATGGCTCCCACACAGGAGCTAATATAAACTAACTGGGAGGGCTGCCCTGCTTTGGTGAGTCACACCACACTGCCTGTGAGGCCCCTTGCCATCCTCATAAATAAGTACTAGAATTACAGTGGCTGTTTCTGGAAGAGATCACATCACAATCAAATCTGAAAACATGTGGTTAAATATTTTCTCCATCTCACTGAGTTTAGTGATTTGCTGTGGAGAAACATCTTTGGAGGGGACAATTTAAGCTTCAGAGATCCCAGATTTAGCACACGTGCCTTTTCATGAAGGCTCTTAAGGAAAGGAACTGAGTTACTATTGGTCTCTACTGGAGCACTACTGAAGCATCCACCAGGAATATTAATCTGAAGGGATGTAGCAGTGGATGCCCCAATTAGGCTAAATCTCAGTCACAGCTTCCCCCTTCCAAGGAGATGCCTCAGAGGACACTGGGATGCTCAGAAATTACCTTTATTTTCAGCAGGCCAGTTGTCTACATTCCCATCAACCTCAGTGGGATGAAGATTCAGTCTAGTTGTAGGTATGAAGACCACAAGAAGGTCGAATGACGCACAGTTGTAAGCCAGAGAACAAACATCAGGAATTGTCTCTGTGTGGAAGCTGGAAGCCATGCAAACACATTCATGTGCACCCTGATGACATGTGCACAGACCAGGTATTTCAAGGAGGACAGCAAAACATGACCTGTTTTTTCATTCCTGCAGAAACAGAACTAAGAGGAGCAACACTTTAAGCTCAATGTTTGAAAACATAATCCTGATTATTGTCACGTGCTTCTGGAAAGGCAGGAGGATACAACTACACTTACATCTTTTTTTTTTTAATACAGATGAAAAAGGAAAATGAGAAAACACACCCATACACTAGATAAGATCCTAGTCTGTACTGTTGATTGGTGTGTTTTAGACAGATGGACCTTTCTTAATACCTTGGATTTTCCCTCTCCCCATTTTTTTTTACAGTACAAATAAAGATGCCTGGTCAACTATTAAGTAATTTTCTATCTGTGCTGAACCATGCCCACTACCCAGAAAAAACCAAACTCCTGTGTCCAGCCTTACTTCCCAGAGCTGAGAATTCACCCTACTTTCTATAGAATTATGGCTCTGGTAATTCAGCTCCACCTGAAATCTTTAGATCCTCTTGTAATTTTCATCCAGATCTGCATAGACCTGATCATTTCCGCAGAGATAAGTGAGGTGCAAAAGGCCTGAACTACTTGAATATAAGATAAGTCTGTATTGATGAAAGAACTTAAAACCATATCCCACTAAATCCTTGATGGCTGCTCACATCACTGGAATTCTGCAGTGGATGGGTCACAACTAGACATCTAGTTTCATTGAGGAAACATCCAGATGAACTTTTTATCCACACTAGAACAAAACACCAAAATTCCAAAACTCTTTGCAATGGAAATTTCAGAGGAAAACATTGCTTTGGATTTATCAAAACATTTGGCTTCTGCAAGAATTACTTACTTTTATTCTTGACAGTTTCTATGAGAGTAGGAAAAATATAATTTGAAATTCCTCAAGGGGCAATTGAAGTTTCTTGTTTTACTACTGCAGACACAGACCATCCTGATGCTGCTGTCATTTTTCTTGTCCTTCTTTTTCCTCTACAATGAAAAAATCCCACAGAACTAAGACACATGATACTACAAAACAGTTTTTGATTCTGATGGAATTCAGTCCTCAACAGAAAGATACTGAATGATCATCCCTATTAACAGTTCTGTCTTGTTGTTAGAGGCACCAAACAACTAAACATCTGCAGCAGGACAAGAACATTTTGCTCAACCTTCTTGGCTTGCAGATGTGCATGTACTGCCCAAGCACAGGGTTGCTGTAGTACTGCTGCCTCCCTCCTGCCTCCTCCTTCATTTCCTCCATCAACACAACATTTTTGAATCAACTGGGATGCAAGGCTTGAGCTGGCCAAGCTGCAGTTCACAGCAGGATCCTAGAAGTGCTGAGGTTCAGATTATGAGCAAGGATTTCAAAGAAGCATTTGCTGTAATATGAAGCAGATATAGTTTAAACTTTTTTTTTCAGGGATGAACAGGAATCTCAGCTGTTCTTCAGGAAGAAAAGCCCATCTAAGCTGTTACAGTTCTGCAGTGGGGTTTCACTATACTCATGAACCATCTTGGGGGGCTTGGGTGGATTCATTTTTTTTTTTTTTTTACTGTGCATCAAGTATGCATTGCTGTCCATGTGGGGCTTTGCTGCAGGCTGCCACATATTTTGCTATTGTCTCTTCCTTCCCCCAAAGCCATTGAAAATTCCCCAGTCTCATGTTTTATTTACAAATTTTTATGGGTTTGTGTTTTATCAGTTTGAGTGGGTGGGAGAAACTCAGTTTTATGGATTATTTTTTTTTTTCCAGAAAAGTGGAGATTTGCTTCTCTTAAAATCTCACAGTAATGGTTTGCAACTTTTCAGGGACTATCCCTGGAATGGAAGAAAAAACCATGCTCCTCTGGCTCAGGTCCTGAACCAAAATAAACTTTCCTTCAAGTGGGCTGAGATACTGAATGCTCAAGTCTGAACACCAGACAAAAAAAAGACAGGGCTACAGTTCTGGTCATGCAGTAATCCATGGGTGACAAACTGTTTTCCATAGTTGTTTTTGCTATATTTACTGGATCAGGAGAAAGCTCCTCCTATGTTACCAAGGGGTCAAAGAGAGGAGACAGATTTCTAGCATATCAGGATCCAAGGAAACAGTAAATGAAAAAAGGCAAGACCTACATAAATAAACATTTGTATATGAAGGTCATAAAATATGGTGATGTGCAGCATTGTTTCTTCTTGAGTAAACACTATACAATTACCATTTCCTTTCCTAGTCCAATCTGCTTTAGCAGAGACCACAGCTCCACCTCAGCATGTGGCACATCAGGTGGCAGGTTGTATCAATCCATCTCCAAGTGATTCTTCCAAGATCCACACACTGAATACCCCTCCCAAGGCAGCACACATTAAAAACTAGCTGTTTGACCCCTCAGCCCTGAGAACAAACAATGCTCAGGACCAGAACCATTTGCATCTTGGAGCCAGCAAGGGGAAGAGGCCTGCATGGAATGTTCTGTTTGTGCAGGTGAGAAAGAAAAAGCCTGACTCTAGCTGAGAAGCCACCCATATTGTTTCAGCTGCATTCAGTACCATTTTATATTTGCATTCAAATCAGCACCCTTGGAACAGGGTGGAGTCCAGGTTTGAAAGCCAAGAGTAATTTGAAAACATCTTTCTCTGTGAGCCAAACTTTTTCTTATTTGGTATGGCCAGAGACATGGGAAAAGCTTTAGTGGAGCCTTGGAGAGATGCTCAGTGTGAAGCATCCTTTGAGGCTGCATTCACACAACAGCTACACGCTGCTCACAACTCCCTCACACCAGAAGAGCCTGACCCAGTGCAGCTTATTCCTCCAAGTCCAGGAC